CCTGCTGACTTCAAGTTCTTTAGGTCAAGGAACCCTTTGCTATTCTGCAACTTCACCTCTTTGCTGAGCCTCTTAATCAAAAGTGTAAAGCCAGAAAGAACATCAAACAATCAAGAGCTGGATGATTGGATTGGTTATTTTAAATGACTACAGCTTTGGTTGTGACAGATTTGGGAATAGATTGCATCTTCTCAGCCTCACTAAGTAGGCTGAATAGGCTGAGCATTTTGTGGAAAACAAACCTAGCTTCTCCCCCCAGCCCCTACCAAAAAAGTAAAAAAAATTAAGCTATCACTCCAAAGTACATGCTAAGTACAGTCAGTATTTTAACAGTACTACATAATACTATGTATGTAAAATCTGAATGGATTAAAAATATTTACCTGTACAGTGACTACTCTACTTTACACTTAGGCGAATTATAATTATTAATGGCATTACTATATTAATATATTTATGATGTGATATTTTACTGAGGCCATTATCCTGATTCAAAATGGAAATTTGTATTGGTTCTTGCCATTTTACCTGCTCTGTTAATGGCACCTTCTAAGGTGAGCGAGAGGCAAAAGAAATGAACCATACAAAGGAATGAAGATTAACCACATGTAAACAGTACTGTAGATTCCCTTTCTCTTCTGCAGTTTGGGAAATCTATGTTTCAAATGATGGTAAACATAACAAGAGAAAGAGAGAACAAGGCAGATCAAAATGAAAACAGTGTTTGGTTCACTACAATGGGGTTGCTTAACTTACTTTTATTTGATGATCTATTGATACAAAGATGTCTGTCCTTCAATGCAATGGAAGCAGATTTGTGAAGTTTTACCACTGTGGGAAGTCTGAAAGCACAATGAAGTAGCCATGAGTCTGCTGTGAGATTTTGCAGGCAAACTGCCTTTGTACTCTGGGTGGTGGCAAATAAGAATCTGGCTAGAAACCTTACTCAGCATAGGAAAATCCTAAACCAGAAAGGTGCTGGCAAACCAAAGAGAGGAAATAGAAAAGGTACATATGGCTTAAAATTCTTCCATTGTCTATAACACGACTTGTTAATACATATGAGAAACGGCACCATGTAGTACCTTCATTAAGACTTGACTTAAGGAGAATTAAGACCATATGACCATGAAAGACTGAAAGAGATATATGACCTTTGTAGCCACAGTAAAAATAAATAAATAAATAAATAATTTAAAAATCAGCAAAGTTATTAAAAAGATTACACAGTAGAACTAGCCATTAAAATCTATGGATACCTATGATTTGGAGCATGCAAATGGTCATATTTTTTTTTTTTTTCTCAAGTTATTAGTCCTAGGCAGGAATCTTCTCTTAAAATCTCAAAAGTAGAAGAAGACTTCTTGAAGAAGAGGAATCATGCAGAGAATGTCCTGTTTTATGCATACATTTAATTAATTATTTAATTAATTAATTTTTGCTTGAAGTTAAGGAAGAAAAATCCCAATTTCTTTGTTTTCTTGGTATAGTTTTTCTGTGCATGTGTGTGTGTGTTTGCTCTTTTTTTTTTTTTTTTTTTTTTTTTTGCTATTCAATCAATCCCTGTACTTTTCTAGAGAATAAATTCTCAGATGGAAAAATGAAAATCAACCTTTATTAATAATGTGCACTTGGAAGAAAATCTTTCTCTAGGACCTGGACTATTAACACAGAGTAAAGAATTGCCAATAAGATGAAAGACAGATACAATATTCTTCTACCTTCTTCAGAGCTTAAAACTTCCCAGATCTGCTTATCTCCCATTAACGAACAGTGCAACCTCCTTTCTTTCATTAGCTTATTAAATAACAACAAGTTAAGCAACTCCATGGTAATGAATCAGATACTGCTTTTAGTTGTATCTGCCTACCTCTTCACAGAACATATATCTTCATCACATAAGCAATTTCAGAAACTGAGATGGGAGCTACATGGTGTTCTTATCACTGACTGATCAGACACTGCTGCAGCATTTCATTGTGCAGAACTATTGTGCAGTATTACAGCAATATATTATCCCCTTTCTTGAAGATCTTACATGTAAGCAGAAGAAATTGCTTTTTATGCTTTACAGGAAAAAAAAAAAAAAAAAAAAAAAGAAAGTGAAGAATGACATGGGCAGGCTAACAGACAAGTATTGCTCAGTCCAAACATTTAATTGTGGGATGTTTTTTGTTTGCTTTTTACTATTTTCTATACAAAACTTTCAATTTACTGGCTATCTAATTGCCTTTTATACTATGGGAAAAACAAAACAAACAAACAAAGCAATTGCCCTAATAAAAGGTCAAAAAAAAAAAATGTACATAGCTTCCAGAAGAATACTTGACTAGCAGTGTGTGCTGTAGGCCAAAATGTTCTTGGCTCCCTAAAAAAAAAAATTCCAGGTTGAAGTCTCTGCATGACTGTTATAGTTTGACTCATTCTATTGAGGGTGAGATTATAGAGAAAAAAAATGTATTTCTGTGACTTGTTGTGCCAATATAAACAAATACAAGTTCTTTCTTTAGTCATTTGCAATCATTTTTGGAGGAACTCTAGAGATGGGGAGAATGATTGAATGCAGTAATGTCAGAGAGGGGAAGAGGAAAATGAAGAGAAAAATGAAAGTATAATAGATGGAAATGATGAGGGCCAAGAGGGGGAGGGGGAGAAGAGTAAACTTTGGAAAAAGTTTAAATCCATAGGGAGTATGGGTATGGATCATCTGCTTTGGCTGGTGGAGTAGAGGACATCTGGGGCAAAGTTGGAAAGATTCAGTTAAGGCTACAAAGGATTGCCTAGGATTTACTAACATGGCTTCCACTGACTGTTGGAATCTCACAAGTTATTACAGTTACCTGTAATTAATATATATATAAGTATTAAAAATCAAATCAAAACAAATCAAATAAATACAATTTGTAAAAGCAGTCTTCAAATATGAGACCTATTTTACGGAGTGCAAAGATTTTGATCCCTTTCTCTGATAAACTATACTTCCCTCTTCCTTTCTTGTCCTTGGACAGATTCCAGTTATGTTTGGAGATCCAGATCTTCTACAGTATTAGTTTACTCTTGGCCTTACTTGTGGATGGGAAAACACCTGTTGTTTTGTCCAGCTATCAATGGCCTTCTTAGTTGTTTTTATGCCTATGAAATTGATTCAGAGTCAGAGAATGAAGCCATATATATCTATCTTTTGACTACTTCAGGATGGCCACAAAGATATACTGATTTGAAAGACAAATAACATTTTCACTGACTTCTATGATTCTATAGACATTCTTTTAGGCACATGCATTCATTGGTATTCTGTTTCAATACTCCACAGGGTATGTTAAGCCCCCCTTTATTATCAATCTACTCTGGAAGACTATCAGATCGCCTGCAACCGTAGAAGACGGAATAGACCAAGTTAAGTGTCAACATGTTTTGCTGATTGCCCTTTACCATGTAGAAAAAGAAGCTAGTATGAGGTTGAGAGAACACACACTCAGTGCTTGGACATGACAGTGCAGCATCATCTGTGTGTTAGCACTTCAAGTATAACTTGGATTTGTTGTGTTCAGAAGTCACTGGGCTTGTTTTAACTAGCATATGCTCAGTGGTGCTGAAGAAGCCACCTAAATAATGTGTGCCATGACTTGAAAAATGCTCATCTCTACATACATGTTTGGGAGAAAGTGTCCACTACATTTAAAAAAAAAGTCCCAACAACTTAACATCAAAACCAAATCTGCCCTGCACTCCTGGTTGGGGTCCTTGTACTTGAACACTGCAGATGACCTTCTCCAAATCTTAGTGATATACAGGGTTCAGATCTCAGATTATCCAGATCTCAGATACATACAGTAATGTAGGAAGTACATCACTGAAGTGAAGTAAGAGGTACCAAAATACCAACCCTCAGCCCAACTAAAAAGTTCCATAAATGAATTAAAATAAAAATATTGCCAGACCTAAGCCTCACCCCTTCTAAATTATGTACCAGAATGTTTGCAAGAAGGTGGACCCCAGGACAATTTTATATCACAGTTTGGGACATCAGCCAAAGGACTTCACCCTTTAGACATTTGTGTCTCATTAGCTCATGACAGATTACATAGGTTTAGCGATATAATCTCATACAGCATGACTCAATACAATTTTTTGTTATAAAGAATTTTCCTTGCATGTATAGAAGCTTGCCTCAAATGATTGACTATCGTTGCTACTTGCAAACCAGCAGGCAGTCTGCTGGCCAATTTACCTGAGTATTTTCTCAAGTACAGTAGTTTTGTGCAATTATTCTACCGTGGTGGTTCTGGTGCTTATGTAAAAGGTCATATAACATGAGAAATGACAGAAACTGACATATTTTTCTCATACTCAAGTGGTATTTTTTCAAGTGGAACAAGGAGTGACTTAGTGTACTAATCGCTGCTCCTTGACATACACAATGGCAGTGAAATAATGTTACAAAAGGCACAGAACGTCCCTTGCAGTGGAGCATGGCTAGTGCTTTTAGCTTTGGTTTTAGAATGATTTTTTAAAACTGAGTTCAAATATCACAACTGGAGTTTTGAAATTCTGACTCAGTCCACTAGATGGTGATCCTTGTAAATCAGGCTTCGGGTAACTATAGAAGAGTTGGACTTTTAACCATAAAAACACACATTTCAGTATGCAGAACAGAAAATACAGGTTACAGTATGACACAGTATGACATGATTTGTGTCACAAACCTATACATATAAATTCCAAAATATAGTTGAGCATATAACTGCACTGTTCTCTTGCTGTTACATCAATAGAAGTGTTAGAATACCTTCCAGCCACAAGAAAACTGAACGTGCTGTCAGTTATCACTGCAAATCATTTTGCAGGTTGCAGCCCTCTTGGAAACTCAACGAACACCACAACATTGTACTGTCATTATTTGAAGATACCTTCAATACACTCGCATTTAAGCATACATTTCTCTGCATAGCATGCACAAAATTCCATAGGTAATTTTAACATAAAACAAAGACTTAGGATAGGGTAATAGAAATGTTTTATTAATCAAATATATTTACATATCTTTGTCTCCTTTTTAAATGTGTGCCTGTTATTTTCATTTAAACACAATGTAATCTTTACAGTTTATGTCACAAGAATACAGCTACATGCATGACTTAATTGGTCCTTTGCAGTAAAAAAGATGCAATTTTATGGATTAAAAAAAATATGCAAGCAAGCTGTTTACCTTTCTAATTACAGTGTCATTATTGTTTTACTACAACAGAGGACCCCTTCGGCATATTCTACATCTATTGGGCGTATTTATGCACTTTTTCAGACTGGTTTATCATGTCAAAACTTCCAAAAACTCAACAAATTTTAAGAAGAAATACTTCATGTTGTCCCAGAACATTTTATTTTCTGGAAATAGAAACACAGAAAGAATTTGGATGGTACAGAAGAGTGCACTAATAGTAAATTAAAAATAAAATAGCATAAAATAAAGTCACAGCAATTGACAACTCTCAAAAGCGATGAGGACTTACTTTTGGACATTCACGTATTTAGTCTTCAGAATCTACATCATTTTGTCAGCTATAAGACAGCATCACATAGTCTAAAGGCATCATACAGATAATAAATATCAATTAAAAGAGAGATGAAGTTACCAGAAGAAAATAACGGATGTACACACCATTGCTTGTAAGTTTCTAGTATGTAATGTGTTTTAATTATCACATTATTCTCAGCTTGGTTTACTTTCTCAGGAAGACAATCAATTTGTATTTAAAATGACCATATTTACAGTATATAACTGCAGGTTCATAAAGGACCTAAAGTCTTTCTGAAAGGAATAAATCTATGAATGTAAAAAAATTCATTCCACACATTGGACAAAGTTAGAACACAATTTTTAAATACAACTTCAAATATGTTCAGGATTAGACAAAAATGAAACAAACAAAGGAAAAAACAACAACAACAACAAAACAGTATTTACCAGGCTACAAAACAGAGATGCCAAATGCTTCAGAAGTTCTGAAAAGGGAAGCACATAATCCTTAAATTTAAAGATAATTGTACTATACTTACTGCTTTAGTTTACTGTGTGCAAACAGATTCTGTAATCAAAATAGACTTAAATGTACAGTTGTTCCATTGATACGTGAGCAGAAACTCACTCAGCATTTAGGAAGTGCAGACAGGTACTAGATCCTGTTTTGTCCAAATCTAGGATGTATTTTAGCTTGTTCATGCTAGTTTTAGGTTTGCTGTATTGTAAACAAATACCAAATGTTTTACTTGAGAAAAACCTACTCTAAAATCATGGGTTTTCACTAAATTGCTTTTGTATGCTGCCATCTCTGCTATGAAAGTGCCATATATAAAATAATGAAAAAACTGAAATTGTGCTTAGGAATCTGGCACAACATAGTGACTTACACAAGAAAGAATTATTTGGAAGAAAATGTAAGTTCTGCAGAAATCCCACTTTGATGCTTAAAAAAAAAAAAAAAAAAAAAAAAAAAAAAAGGAAAAGAAAAGAAAATAAAGAAATCTAATAAAATCTTGAAACAATTGATCTTTATTTCACGCCCATTCAGGAGAACACTTAGACACATGCTTAATTTGAAACATATGAATAAGCCTATCTGTATTCAGCGGGGAACTTGGCATATCAGTAAGCACATATTTACGTGCAATTTGCATTACAGATTCAAATATAAGTCCCTCTCTGCAAGATGCTGAGTGGTTTGCACTACCACTAACCACCTGAACAGGAGAGCACATTTAGATATCGCAACAGCACAAGTCAGTGACCTAACACACAGCTCGCTTCTGCTTTTCAGAGCATGACATATCTCTTTTCCCACCTACTCTTTTTCAGCTGTGTTTTTTTGTTTGTTTGTTTGTTTGTTTGTTTGTTTGTTTTGGTGGGAACATCTCAGCTTGCAGCAATGATCCATAGCTACTGCTCAAATGTTAACTAAAACCTGGTGACACACCAAGATGTTTCTTTACATTAAGTCTTTAAAATAAGGGAAGGTGTGAATTACCAAGAGATAGGGTTTGAAAGGCTGTGGATCAGGTTGTAGGTGTTCTTTTTCCCATTTTTTTTTAGCCTTGCTAGGAACATAATGATGTCCAAATAGTCACCTTTGAGTTACCATTCTTCCTACCCAGGTTCCCATGCTTCCTTGTACCTAAAAGAAAAACACACACACACACACACACACACACAAACATACACCAAACAAAGAAAAAAAAAACACAACACAGAAAACAAAAACAAAAAGCAACACATTTATATAGTTGCTAAGAATTTATCATAGCTTGGAGGATAAAATCAGGCTGAATTGTTTAATCCCCATATCACTCCACTGAGTAACAGCGCTGAAAAACTCACAAGGCAAAAGCCTCTTCATAAGATAATCTGGTACTTGATAGACCAATAATAAAAATCACTTTTTTTTTTTCACAGTGTTTTTACATTTTTAATGGCCAAACACAAAAGCAGTAACTCCTGAAGTTATT